CAAGTGGTAGAGCGCTAGCCTTGAGCTGAAGAGCTGAGGGACAGCGCCCAGGCCCAGAGTTCAGGCCCCACAACCGGACCCAGAAAAAAAAATGCAATCATAAAAATTTAAATGTTACTAAAAAATAAATAAATAAAACTCAGCTGTAGGTCTGCTCCCAAAGGTTATTACAATCGAATTTTGGCCTCTGGGTCACAGTACTGAGGTCATCTCTCTCCCATACCCCCAATAACCACTTAATACGTATTTGCAAGATAATAGAAAGTGTACAGTCCATTTTCAGGTGCACTTTGATCTTATAGTAAACTTAAAATAGACATCAGGAGGAATTTGCAAATGAATTGGACGTACGGTTAAATGTATTCTCCAATCGCAATTGTTTTTCCCTAAGACTCAGCCTTATCCATAATAGTCATTGACTATATGACAACTTAGTCATTGATGAATAGGAAACAGATGCGCACACAAATCTTAATAGTCCTAAGCACAACTTAATAGGCCAGATTTAATCAAGTGATTTTTGACTTCTTTTAAAAGAAGTAAATTTATTGAATAATTTGTTCCTATCTACCTGCTTTCTCCAAATCTGCTTTATTGAAATGCTATTCATGTATACAAAAAAGGTATAATTTCAAGTGTTGAGTTCAGTAAGTTTTGATAGTAGCCATAAACTCAATGAAGAAAGACTACATAATAAAAATGCCTTTTCCAGCCTTTGGCTAGAGGAGTTTTCATTTTCCTAAGTTTTCATATGTAGCCATCACACAGAAAGTATTTTCATGTCTTGTTTCTTTCTCTTTGCATTGTGCTTTTGGTGTTCATACAGATTCTGGTATTAATAATTACTCCTTTTAATGAGCTGAGTAATGTTTTAATGTATGCACTAAATGAATTTATCTATTCACCTGCTGATAGCCATTTATTTCTAACTTTTGGCTACTTGTGAGTAAAACTGCCATAAAAATTGTATTTCTTGTAGATAAAATAGCTAAGAATGACAGAGATGGTGTATGTTCTCTCTGATGTGTAGAAATAGATCTAAAAGACACTGGGATAGTTATGTGGGATTCTAGATACACACAGACTGAAAGAGGACATTCTTAAAGACAAAAAGGAGCAATGACTGCATGCTCCAGGATATGGAAACAAAAGATCTGTTTTTTTAAGTTTTATTTTTTGATGATTCTGTCTTCTTTATGTATGGTGTATTCAAGTGTAAATCTTTGAGTGGGTGGGGGGTATAGAATTCGAGGGGAGCTCACAGGGCATGGATGGAAGTGAACTGTACAACTTGTGGGTGGAGATGGGAGGGAGGGACTGGGAAAGAATGAGGGAACAGAAGACACTATACAAAAGGAAATGTACTCATTACCTGATTCATCTAATTGTAATCCTTGTGCACATCACCTTTAAGACAATATATTAATTTTGAAAAAATATCTAAGAATGAGGAACTATAATTTTAGTACTGAGAAATATTTCTATCTTCCTATATCAATTATCCCAATGAAGAATACAAGTATTTCTTAGATATTAGTTTACAATAAGGTTTATTAGTGGATGTGCTGTAAGATGGAGAATTCATACATTTTCTAGTCCATAAAGGTCACACATAATCCATACATTCAATGCATTCCAGAACAGTACTCGACAGTTAGGAGACATTTCCTTATAAACTTCAACATATTATGAATTTTAAAAAATACATCCATGTAACTAGATGAACAAAAAGATCATGCATTAGGAATTTTGCTATGAATTTTCTCTTAGAACAAACAGTTGTATATTCTAATTTGAAAATTAGGACAACTTCATTTCACTTTTAAAAAAAACCATAAAATGCCTATATGTCACACTAGCTAACATTTGCTTTAATTAAAGAAGGAAAATATTTCTCATTTCATCTGCCAGATGAAAAATATTATCTAAAGTCACATATTAGAATTATTCTAAGTCCAGACATCCATGTAAAAAGGTCTAGAATACAAAACTTTATCAGAATCCAGGGATATAAGCTTTTGTTTTCAAAGAGTAGAAAAATCTCCACATTAATAAACTATAACTTCACAAAAGAATCAAGCGTATACTTTAGATGTCCCTTATTTAAATAATAGTAATGTCACTTTAGAGCTAAAACTTCTGGGTAAGCACTGAATTGAAGCACACAGTCTAAAAATGTTTCAAGTCCTTCTAAATAGCTATCATTACAGAAATAAACATTTTATAAAATACTGAGGTCTGTAGAGAAAGGTACATGAAAATCACATCAAAGAGATTTCAGAAATGACAAAGTAAACTTTTACTTTTAAGATGCATTCTGAAATTATCAAGAAATCTGAACATATTCACTGAATTATGGGAGGAAAACCATACCCTATGACATAACTCTATAGCTAAAACTAAAACTTTAAGAAAAATAAGGACTTTCCTAGTACCTGTTATAATAGTTGTATTCCCTTATCATCACACCTGGAAGCTCAATGTAGAACATTACAAAATAGCCATACGAGATAATTCTAAAAGTACAAACAAGTTGCATGAGTTTTCTATCAATCAACTCTGTCAATTAGCTATCTTCCCTCTTACTGCCAGAAGACAAGATACAGCCTACAGCGTTGAGAGGGCTGGAATACTAAGGCACAAGGAACTAACAACCTAACGGCCACATAGTGGCAACAGTGCCAGCCAGGGAAGACACACACCGGGGCCCTCCAAACCACTCAGCCTGCATCAATGCACCCAGTCCTTCGGATGGCGCAGAACTTCCAGAATTTCGGCTTCCTTGGAATTTGCTGAGGGCGAGTGCATGTATTCCCACCTATGCATGTCCAAAACAGAAACCAGTAATGTAATAAAATAAAAAAGACATACAACTCTTAAATGAAAAAAAAATATCCTAAGAATAAAAGTTTCTTGCCATTTGTCTCCATTATGCCAAATATACTTTGCACTCACCAGACTTTTAAAAAAGATTGGTTGCTAAGTAGATTTCTTAGCCAGACACCAATAGCTTACACCTGTAATCCTAGCTACTGAGAAAAAGTCCACAAGACACCACTTCCAATTGATCAGGAAAAAGCAAGGCTAGAGGTATGGCTCAAGTGGCAAAGGACCAGCCACAAGCAAGCAAGCCAAGCCAGAGCATGAGGCCATGAGTTCAAACCCTGGCACAAAAAAGGTGGGGTGGGGGTAGAGGGGCGGGGAGGGGTTCAAGGCTCCTTCATAATTCTCAGGATTAACATCAATACCACAGAGCTGAAATAAACTTTTTGATATACCACTTCAGATTATCCATGGGCAGAAATTAGCTAATTCATATACATAGCTTTTCCCAGGAGACTTTTCAAAAAAGGGGTTGGGATGGTCAGCTATTCAAACACCCTCCCTCACTCCCCATACTCCTGCGTTCTTATTCACATACCACCTCACTCACTGTCACTGCTTATAAAATTCATTTTTTTTAACTAATTGACATGATTCTCCTATAAAATTATAGCAAAGTGAAAACCAAGGAGTCTTAGGGAAGACGGTATCAGTGTTAACTCTGACATTTTGTTGAGGGGTTGGATATGAACAGATAAACTAGCATGATGAGTAGCTCTTACCTCGCAGTTAGAGGTAAAGACATCAAGATGCTTTCAATCCTGGATCCTGGAGTGAAGAGGCCAAATTTTGTACCTCGATCATATACCAGATTAAATTCTACATACCTGACAGAAAGACATCACACAACATTAAAGGCCAGTAAGTAAAATCTTTCTGAAATCCATAATAATTACTTGAAGGAGTCTTTCTCCCCCACTTCCCGCCAGCTGGAACTGGTACCCAGGACACCAGCCTACTGCCTACTGAGCTTTCTCCAATTGGGCAGCATAAATAAAGGGGATTCTACTCATCAAACAATCAGATACAGAGTCAACCCTGTCACAGAGTGGTTTCAAAACAATGTTGTATTTTTCTACAAATAAACAGAATGAACTGGAACATTAAGGCATAACAACAATTAAGCAAAAGAAATGGCATCTTTTCTCAGGATAACATAGTAACTTTGGGTCCTCCCCAGAGACCCAATTTTGCAGAATTCATTTCACTATAACAGTACTACTATTAAGATAGCATAGAGATGGGCACTGGTGGCTCACGCCTGTAATCCTAGCTACTCAGAAGGCTGAGATCTGAGGATTACGAAGCAAGCCTAGGCAGGAAAGTTTGTGAGACTCTTATCTCCAATAAATTAGCTAAAAGCCATAAGTGGTAGAGCACTAGCCTTGAGCAAAAGAAGCTAAGGGACAGCACTAGGCCCTGAGTACAAGCCCCAGGACCAAAAAATAGATATAGATAGATATAGTGTAGAATTTCTGTAATGGAAGGCCATATATAGCTGCCAATAATCTGTTAGTAATGATTAATATATCCTACATAGTCTCTTTTCTTTAACTAGTAAGATTAATAAATAGCTATATAATTCATTTATCCTACAAAGTCACAGGAACCACAATAAAAGATAGTCTTTGGCAATGCAGTAGTTTTTTTTTTTTTTAAGGAAAATATCTTTGACATCAACTAAAATTTGGCTCAAATTTTCTATTAACAATCATAGAGGCAGATCTAAACTCCACCAGCTTAAACATCCCTTTCTACTCCCCAAAATAATTCGGAATAGTGACCAGGTGTGAAAAGTTGAGTAAATATCACCCTTTCAGATCACTTCCCAGAATATTCAGAAACCACTCTTGGTTTTCACTTCTTTTTCATTTATCCTACCATTTTTAAGCCCACTCATATCAAAATGCTCTCTATAATCACAAAGTATTTCGATTTTGTCTGTGTGTGCTTGTTTTTTCTTGATATAGGATTTCACTAGACAGCTCAGGTTGGCCTAGGACTCTCCTTCTCCTCCAACTTTTGAGCACTGGGTTTAGAGATGTGTGCCACCACACCCAGCTCAAGAGTATTTCTTTTTTTTTTTAAGGCACTATTATATGTAACAATGTGTCAAAGAACCTGTAAAAATGTAAATAACTGGGGCTGGGAAGGTGGCTCAGTGGTAGAGTGCTTGCCTTGCATGCATGAGGTCTTAGGTTCGATTCCTCAGCACCCCATAAGCAAAAAGAAAAAAGCCAGAAGTGGCGCTGTGGCTCAAGTGGTAGAGTGCTAGCCTTGAGTTGCAGAGCTGAGGGACAGTGCCCAGGCCCAGAATTTAGGCCCCACGACCGGATCCAAAAAAAACCAAAAAACTATAATCATGAATTCCTCCCTAGTCTCACCACTTATTTATCACTAGTGGCTTTTATGCGCTAGTGACTTTACTTCCTTGTGCCTGTCCAAAAGATAATTTAAATATAATCTTATTAACTTCTACCTAAAACTACATAAAAGAATTTCAGCTCTCAGCCACCTTTCGCGACCTGCTATAACTTTCCTGAAATATGATTTCTAGAAATGACTGTGATTCACTCCTTTGCTTAAGTATATTAAAGATCTGCCTTATGAGGAGCTCTCAAAATGCACTTCTATAGATCCTTGAATTCCTTGTTATTTGAGTGAATGATGCCTCTTTTCCTACATCAATTCCCCTAACATCCATGAGATTGCATTTAGGGCTGATACTTCTGAGTTGAGTGCGATGGCTCATGGCTGTGCTTATGTTAATAATCCTAGGAACTCAGGAAATTGAGACCTGGAGGACTGTAGTTCAAAGCTAGCCCAGGCAGAAAAATCCATGAGACTCCACCTTCAAAAGAACCAACAGAATAAAAAATAATTATAAAAGAAAAAAAGAAAACCAGTGTCAGTGGCTCACGCCAGCAATCCTAGCTACTCAGGAGGCTGAGATCTAAGGATTACAGTTCAAAGTCAGCCTAGGCAGGAAAACTCATGAGACTCTTATTTCCAATAAACCACTCAAAAAAACAGAAATGACACTATGGCTCAAGTGGTAGAACACTCACCTTGAGCTGAAGAGCTGAGGGACAGTGCCCAGGCTCAGAGTTTAAGCCACATGACCAGAAAAAAAAAATAGACTGGAGGGTGGCTCAAGTGGTAGAACACAAGCTGTCAGCAAAAAAGGTGAATGAGATGGTGAGGCCTTCAATAACAGCAGAAAGATCTGATCTTTCTGGTCCTTTCTACAAATTTCTCCTCTCTGAGGTACCTATAAATTATGAACATTCACAACCCTCTTTTGATTTCACTAATGCCTAATGCCTATGTTAATCTTGCTTCCCTTTCTTAGACAGATAACATAAAACTTAATTAAAAGCCTTTAGTTAATCCAAAGTCTTTAGTTCCTGCTCTCCTATGAAAAATGATGAGAGAAAAAATTCAAGTCTGAGAGAGAATAGTAGTAATCAAAGCAAAAGACTAGAGGATGGAAGAGAGAGAGACACACACAGACACAGAGAGAGAGAAAGAGAGAGAGAGACAGAGACTATTAAGTCAAAAGAGAACCAGAATGATCACTGGAAGGGCACAAGGGCAGAGGACAGTCGCTAGAAGATACTCACAATGGGTTATGAATGCAATCAGACAATGCTGAATCTATGAATCTCTGTTCTAAGTGTGGGGTTATCTTCTCTGAGTGTGGAGTTAGCTTTTACCCTCTCTGGGTTCAAAAATAAGAGTGCCAGAAAAAAATGTTCTGAAGAACAGTCACATGCTATGACATTGAAAATTAATCAAACGCTTCATACTTCTACCTCACTGTTCCTGCAATGGTATGCACATAACAGAACTCTCAGAATGTCTAAGAAGTTTTTAAAACTTCCTCTAATGAGTATTCATAAAATTGGCCTAGATTGCATGTGAAATTCTGTACAACATTAGAGCACTTCAGTCTCTACAGAGGTTTAAATCACCCTCTAAGGTATGTCTTTCCCTAACTGTAAACATGTTTTTGACAAGTCTGATATGTTCACCTTTGTAATCAGGGTAGTACTTAACCTCAGTGGTCCATGATAAATGTAAAGAGAAAATGCTAGCAAAGGCAATTCTGAGAAATTATGGGTAGGGGTGGTGACGGTCCAAATCTTGAATTGTTCAAGAAATTTCTAAAAATTCAATTCATTTTATTTTGCCACACAAATGGGGTTCAGATAGCAAAGGTAATTATGAACAAGGCTATATATAAGTGTTCATCCTTAGAACAATATTTAAGTTGACCTTGTCAGGCCAAAAGCTTTACTTCCTTAGTGCCCAAAGCCTAATATACATTAGACAATCTATTTTATAAACACAGGCTTGAGGTATACATACAATTAAGACAGCAGTAAGAAACTGATTTGGACCAACAAGGTGGATACTGAAGTTAATTCACAAGGTTGCAATGGCTCAGCGTGACCTGTTTATCTGCCTAACCGAGCTCATTAAGCTCGATAAACAGAGCAGGTGGCTAAGGTGATGTCATGGTAAAAAGCTGACTTCCACTGCCTTTGTGTAATGAAGACTACAAGCTCTGAAGTCATGATAATCTGGATCTGGTTCCACATCTGGAATTTTTTATTCCCTGATATGTCATCTTGAGTAGCTTACCTTTCTCAGTATATTTTATCATCTATAGTAACAATTGAACATTATACCTGCCATAAAGGTTTGCAGAGAAAACCAGATATGAAGTGCCTGACAGAGAGACTGCACATAATAGGCTTTAAACTAAGTAAACTCAATATTAAATGTCTGGTTTGGAGGGGGTGGGGAGAACTGGTTGGTCATGGGGCTTGAACTCACGGCATAGACTCTGTCCCTAAGTTTTTTCACTCTAGGCTAGCACTCTACCATTTTGAGCCACAGCTCTACTTCTGGTTTTCTGGTGGTTAATTGAGAAGTCTCATGGACTTTCTTGACTGGGCTGCCTTTGTACTGTGATCCTCAGATTGCAGTCTACTGAGTAGCTAGGAGTACAGGTATAAGCCAAAAGGGCCATGCTTGAATGTAGTTTTTTTTAATTATGTGTATTAAAACAACTTTCAGGAAAATTTTTAAGCTGAATGAACTTAAACAAATACATACATACATACATACATAAAAGCATGAGTCCAAATTAACAAAGCAACAAAAAAAGAAAACATTAAATGATCTTGACATAAGGCTATATGATATTGCTAGGAAACTAAAAGAAATCAGCTGAACTAAATCCAGCACACCCTTACTACTACAGTCTCTAATACGGCTATGAAGTTAGTACACTTTGGTATTTTTAGATTACTTCACACGATGCAACTACATTCATGCTTAATATTCATCTAGCTATGAAAAGAAATCACAGTGTAGATTGGCATGACTATGGCACTGCGTCTGCTCACTATTATTATAGCTGCCCCACGTCCCCAGGTACGCAAGGCCACAGCTGAGTCTCCTGTCACTCACCGTCCTCTTCGGAGTTGCTGCCACAGCTTCTCCTGGGGGGTGAATGAATCATCACAGTGCTTTTTCACAAGAGGAATGTAAGAAGGAACCACAGCCTGGGCACAGCTCTGCACGAAGCGAAAGACATCCTCCTGGGATGGAGAATCGAGATCATCGAAAAAGATCCCACCGATGCCCCTCCGCTCTCCACGATGGGCTATAAAGAAGTAATCGTCGCACCTGGAAAGTGCAGCAGGGTTAATCCAGTGCCCCAGGGGAAGGAAAGAGACACAAAAGTCATTGTGGACAGCCATTCAGTTCAGGGCATTCTCCTCAACTAATTCCAGTATATCTTTATATTTCATCCAACTGTAAAAAATAAAACTAGACATTGTCAGATTTTCTGTAGATATCATCCATGTAAAAAATGCTTACAGTCGGGCACCGGTGGCTCACGCCTGTAATCCTAGCTACTCAGGACGCCAAGATCTGAGGATCATGGTTCAAAGCCAGCCCGGGCAGAAAAGTCTGTGAGACTCTTATCTCAAATAAACCACTAGAAAACCGGAAGTGGTGCTGTGGCTCAAGTGGTAGAGCGCTTGCCTTGAGCTAAAGAGCTCAGGGACAGCACCCAAGCCCAGAATTCAAGCCCCACGACTAACCAAAAACAAAAAAATGCTTACACTCTTTCCTACATAGCAACCAGATAATTTAACCTTAAAGAAGGACATGGAACTTCAATAACTTCAGTAAAAAGAACAACAAAACTCAACCTGAGTACTATATAATTCATGAAACTTTGTTCCTTTCCATGAGGTAAGAGCACTGGAATAGTTCTTGTAAAAATTTCATCAACTAGGATGCACATCTGAGTTCTCTAGCCAATTCTTTATTTGCCAAAAGGCATGGGTGGCTCACATCTATAATCCCAGCTACTCATGAGACTGAGATCTGAGGATCAGATCTTGAAGCTAGCCCACCTGGGCAGGAAAGTCTGTAAGACTCTTATCTCTGTTTAACCACCAAAAAGCCAGACGTGGATCTGTGGCTCAATTAGAATGCTATCCCCAAGCAAAACATCTCAGGGACATCCAGTGCTAGCTAGCCTTGAGCCAAACATCCTCTGATTCTTAAACAAGGGTCACCTTCAGTTTTTATTCTACAATTCTAAATCAGTTGGGATCTAAAAAAGATATAATACATATAATACAGCATACATATATATTAGATATTATCTAAGTAAATAATTTATTTTGAAAACTGGCATTACTTTTCTTCTGGTGAAGTAAAGAAAGAGTTCACAAGCTGAAGGTGTCTAGTGACACACTTTCAGGACACAAAAAAGGAATGGGCTCTCCTTTGGGGGTCATGAGAAATCAAATACCTTTACCTACCATTTTTTAAATTTGGGGTAGAGATCTGAACCATGCTGGTCACAAGCCTCCTTTAGAGTTCGGTGAAAATGGACCGCATCCTCGTGGTTCAAGTAAGTTGGAGTGAGATCACATCCACCACCAAACCACCACTGCTTGTTACCTGCAAAATCAAGACACTGGATTTAACGTGACCTTAAAATGCAGTACACGACTGACAACATTGGCGAACTGAACAGAAGCTTAATTTACTAAGTATGAAATAAACAGAGTCAAAAGAACATACAACTGGATTTTGGTCTTAAGTCCAGTAAAGGTTCAGCAGGAATGATGGCATAAAAGTAGAAAGAAACGAAGTAGGAAATTAAAAACTGAGAGAGAAAAGCCAGATGCAGATGACTTACACCTGGTAATCCTAGTCAGGTGGCTGAGCTCTGAAGATGGCAATTCAAAGCCAGCCAGGGAAGGAAATTTCTCAAGACTCTTACCTCTAAAAAGCAACTTAAAAAAAAAAAAAAAGCTAGGAAGTGGCACTGTGGCTCAAGCAGTAGAGCGCTAGCCTTGAACTGAAGAGTTGAAGGACAGCACCCAGGTCCAGAGTTCAGGCCCCACAACCAGCAAAAAAAAAAGCTAGAAGTATGGCTCAAGGAGTATGGTAGCACTAGCCTTGAATAGAAAAAGGAAAAAGAAAAAGCTTAAAGACAGGGCCCAGAACCTGAGTTCAAGTTCCCAGGACAGAAAAAATAAAAAAAAAAAGTGAGAGGAAAAACCGCAAGAAAACGAGATGTTGGGCAATGAGTGATAAACTCCACATTCTCCACACAGATGGACCAGGCAGAGAATGCTGACTGAACATTACAAGCAAATAAAAGCTTAAACAGCAGCAAATTTCTGGCCCAGGAAGGTAATTTAACAAAAACACCCCAGGAACTTCTGATGCTCCACTGTTAAGAACCACTATTGCCCTTCTGTTTCCCACCAAGGATGAAAACACTTTCTGAGGGAGCAACTTACCATGTGTGAATACTATTTCACCTGTTTTCTTTGATCTATCTTTTTTCTTCTTTTGTCAAGACCAGGTACTAAATTTTTTTGATTTGGGTATTTTTCTTCTTAGTACTGGGAATCAAATCCGGAGACTTGCACATAAGAAGCCCATGTCTTTCAGACATGATGATTTATATTTGCAAAGACAACCCAAATGCCTTGCACTTTGATATTTGAATTCATTAAACTGTCCTTTGGAAATATGAGGTGTCAAAGTGGGTCAATACCATTTTTACTTCCATTGCACCTGCTTTCATACATCTCCTGGAAAGCCCCATTATGACTCTAATTACTTTTTATCAAGTTCAGGTGTGATACCTTTATAACTGTTTTGAAATTCTGATTTTGCACAATACATTCCACTACACCTGAGATGCTTACCATCAGCTTCTTCTATTTCGAAGTACCGGTAGTTGAAATGCATGGTAGGTGCATGAGGATTCTTGGGATGGATAACAGAGCTCACACCCATAGCACAAAATGGCGTTTTACCTGTTAATAAAATACCAAGTGAAGTATGTTCAATCACCTAGCTTGATGCCAAGTAGCTCTTGTGTGATTTCAGAATCTATTTCAAAAGTTGCTTTCTATTTTGTGTGTTAAAATGTAATTTACAGCTGGATGCTGGTATCTCTTGCCTGTAATCCTAGCTACTGAGGAGGCTGAGATGTGAGGATCGAAGTTTGAAGCCAACATGGGCAATAAAGGCCATGAGACTCTTAGCTCCAATTAACCACCTAAAAACCAAAGTGGAACTGTGGCTCAACGTGGTAGAGCATTAGTTTTGAGCCCAAAAACTCATGCCCCATGACTAATTATATATACAATATATACAGCATACATATTATATATAAATAACATAAATATATATTACATAAAAATATATTATATATATATAATTTCCACAAAGTAACTGCAAACATACTTATTTGCACTTAAGTGGCTTTTTCCAGAAACAACATTTATAAGCAAAAATTGAGAAGGAAGAGGTTTTTCAGGGACTACTAAATATCATTAATCTGACTTTACCATCTTTAGTCTTCACAAGTTTTCCTCTGCTTTTCATTTGCTTTGCTGCTTCCTCGGAAAGGTTTCCATGAATGACAGAGATGCTCACCCCAGCCTTCTCAAAAACACGTCCGTCTTGAAGAACACAGCTGATGCCACCACCCCCTATTCACAGAAATGGGAAAGGAAGTGGCGCTGTAGCTCAAGTGGCAGAGTGCTTGCCTTGAGCTGAAGAACTGAGGGACAGCGCTCAGGCCCAGAGTTCAAGCCCCACGACTAACAAAAAAAAAAAAAAAAAAGCCATCACAGAAGTCTGTGTGTGTGTGTGTGTTCCTATAGTAAGGCTTGAACTCAGGCTTCATGTTCTCAGAAATGGGAGAGGAGACAATAGGAGTATAAAAAACTGAAAACACCCCTAAATGAAAATTGATAGGATGTAAATTATCTTCCTCCTCTATTTCCCAAATCTTAATACATTGGTTAATTAGCTCAGTTTTATGTCATATTAGGCATAACTTAATCTCCTCATACCTGCTATAATGATGGCATTCTTATCACCTAAATCACTGGAATATTCTCCCCTTAATATATAAAGAAAAGAACCCACACCTGCTTTTTTGGGGGGGGGGGTGAGGGGAAGGAGGGGGGTGAGGGGAAGGAGGCCTTAAGCAAAAAAAGCAAGAGATATTTGTGAGGCCCTAAGTTCAAAGCCCCAATATCACACACACACACACACACACACACACACACACACACACCCCGAGGCCCTAAGTTCAAAGCCCCAATATCACACACACACACACACACACACACACACACACACACACACACCCCGCAAATAAAAAACCTGGATTACACTTAGGTATTTTACATCTGAAGGATTCTCCAACTACAGCTACCGAAAAGCCCATCCACTGTTTCTTGTGCAACAGGGAAGAGGGGAGACTGTGGAAGAGGGAGACTGAGCTCCAGTTGACACTTAGCATGAAAGCGCCGAGTCCCACATTCTATCTCCAGAGTACAAAGAACAAATGGCACCTAGAGAAGATGATGAAATGTGGGGAACGTCCACTGCGGCCTTGCAAGCTTGTTATTTGCAAATATTCCTTAATATGTCTATGAAAGTGTCATCGTGGAATTGCTAATGTTTTGGAATGGCCAGTTCTAGCCTGACCAGAAACCTTGAGTCTATACTGCAAGCACAGGACGGACGATCCTCCCAGGATCAGGCTCTTACACTGCCTCCCTTCCAAGGGAGCCTCTGTGGGTACCTTCCTGCACCCCCTCCACCCGCCGCGGGTTCTGACTCCGTTTCTGCTCCCTCTCCACCTCCCACTGGGACGGCTGGCCACCCTCACCTTCCTTCCTCTCCCATCGATCCACCGAGAAGTCGGCGACGCCGTCTACCTGTGCCAGCGCCTGGCACACCTGGGCCTGGGTCTCCAGGATCATGAGCTCCATCTTGGTCTTCATGTCGCCGGGTCTCTTCCGCAGCTCGCGCAGGTCGGTCACCGGGGGGGCCATGAAGCAGCGGCAGCGGCGGGCCAGCTCGTCCTCCCCGCCGCCGTCCTCAGCCTCCGGCCTCCCCTGCGAGGAGCCGCGCGTCCCCGAGCTCTTGGGCACCATCTCGGCCCGTCGCACATGCCCGAAGGTGGCAGCCGCCAGCCCAGTCAATCCTGCCAGGGTGGCGGCCAGCCCGGTCCCCAGCCAGGGCCCGCCCTTGGCGGAGGGGCCGTGCCCCAGCCCGCGGCTGTGCCCGGGGCTGGCGGT